TACCTTTTTTGGTCCAAACTGAAATCAAAAGTTGCATCAAATTCGTGGTCAGAATTGTGATTGAAATGTTTATTCACTAACTTGGTTAAAAAGATTCAAGATTTTAAACAACAACATTTTTTCTACCTTTAAACTCTTTGATGCATTAAGCACTCTGGCATAACACATGTTTATATTTCCCAAACTAGTTCAAAAGATGAAAAAAAACAAACAACGCTTGCAACACAAAAAACCCCACAAGTGTAAATCTTGCTTAAACTTTCTGCGTTGTGATAGAGTGAAGCAACATTGTTTGCACAATATTTGTGCAAATTTATGGTTATCTTCATTGCTAGTATTAGACAAGGAGCCAACTAAGATGCTCTGCTGTAACAGATGACTTCTAATTAAATACCTTTTGTATGTTTTATTTGCTTTAGTTACTACAAATACATCACTGTTTTTTTCCTAAAATCCTCCATCAGTGTAAGGATTTTCCTGCAGCCACTGGTTTCATTCAATTTCATTCAAAATATATGGACATACAGTAGCTCGCAGGATATTGTGAAAAGAATCATGTGTACAGTTCCTGCTGGTGGTCAGCAACCCAACTGTGGATTTTGAAGGGTCCTTGAACGCACCAACAAGGAAAGATTTTCAAAACAACTTTTTCTGTTGTGTATCCTGATAAAACAGTTGAAGCTGTGCCTGTTTTGAAAAGTCTCCCTGTTGGTGCATTCAAGGACTCTCTGACATCTGACTTTTGAGAGTTGGCTGGCGCCTGAACAGCAACTTTTTTAAGTCAAGCAAAAAAAAAAAACAATTACTCATCCTTTTTCAACAGAAACCACGTGTCCTTTTTTCTGTCAAATGACAATGTTAGAGTGTCCTTGAATGCAAACTCTGACAAAAATCAGGAACAAACCAAAACAAATGTGAACACTGACAAACTAATCTTAACTCAAGGTTCACTAACTAGTCTGCTCTGCGGTTTTCAACCAGCATTTCATGGCTACAGCCAAAAAAAAAAGAACCAACGACTTTTATCTGTTGACAGTAAAATCAAAAGCTTTTCCACTTGCTGCGTCCATGTTGTTACTGGCTGCAAGGTCAAGTTCAGCTGCCCTCTCCGATCAGATGCCTCCAACCTGAGGGGCAGTGAGTAAGGGGACGTGGCAGCAATTCGTGCAAATATTGTAGCGACACCGCCAGCAGATCAGTTTCTGTGTAATTTATTTATATTTTTCTCCTCCGTCTGTCTCCTCGTCTTCCCTCCTCATTGAACTAAATTAAGGAAGAGAGAAGGAAGGCTCTTGTTAAAATATAAAAAGCCCTGCATTTAAAAATGCTACGCCGCCTTCTTCTCCTCCCTCTCTGCTGCCATTTTACATTTGGAATCCAGGCAGTGATGAAAGGCAGAAGACGAAAAGAAAAACAAGAGGCAAGTGATAAATAAGGGGGCAAAACAGACGTGTGTGACAGATAGGACTCAGGACGCTCAGTTTGAAACACACACACTCACTCACTCACACACACACACACACACCACACACACACACACACGCACAGACGCCTGATGACAAACTGGTCGACATTTTGTGATATTTGCATGGAGTTGAAAGAATGTGGTGGGCAAAGACCTCTCTGTCAGCCAGCTGGATTAAAGGACAGACAGAGGGATTTGATTTTCAAAAACATCTTTATTTACACTATGGTCATCATAACATTACATCAAAACACATCAAACAATGAAACCGTACATTATATATTTGAATGTAGAATAGATCTGATTATGTCAGAACACAGCACCAATGTTGGATAAGACCATTTGTATTTTTCTTTTCTTTACTTTTTGTCTGTTCTACAATAAAACAAAGAAGCCACTGCCACTACTTTTAATTTGACCTGTTATAATCTGGTTAAGAAATCAACATAGTTTTAGTTTTAATAGTTTGCACTAAAAATCCTGAAAGTATTTCCAATTCTAAAAAGATACTCTATTTTTTATACTTTAACTGTGACATATATTCCTCTGCTTCTATGGCTGGTTAGAAAATCAAGGAACTGCCTAAGGGCTCTAGAGCCCCATGGGCCCCCAAATTCCCAGGCTCACTGTCTCTCAATTGGTTGTAGTAAAGTGATTAATATGTTAGGGAATTTGCACACATAATCAACTTATGCAAGCTTGTTGCCCTGTTTTTGTTGTTTTAACTGTGGTTCAAACATGGTGGAAATTACTAAACAAAGTTGTGCAAAATTAAATGACTTTAACAAATGACAAAAACCTGGGCCAGGCAGTTTTATTCAGCTGATGTTGGGCTTAATGGCGGCTGTTTCCTCCAGCCGGGAGAGCGAACGAGTCGGCTGATTTTACACATCAGACTGTTTACTGATGTTGGGGAGTACGACTGATATATGTGAAGAAAAAAAAAGTTGTTGAAAGCTCTGTGTGTCTGTAGAGGAAGCTGAAAGTTGGCCTCATGTGATGTCACTTGAGTCAGCGTCAGTCAGGGCTGAGGTTCGACCTCTGTAGCCCGTTAGCCCACATTAGCCACGTCACGTAGCTAAATTGTGGGCCAAACAGTTTGCCTTGTGGGTTAATGCAAGCACAGGGTTTTGACAGAGAAGAAGAATGTGTGGAATAATAAACACAATATCTTTTTTTCGACTGTCCAACAATCTTTATAGAAGTAAAAAGATCGATCGTACTCTTTGAAGAATGTGCCAGAGCCAGAAAGGTAGCCGCTAGTTTATACAGTACAGGTGGTTGTAAGTCCAATTCACAGAAATAATAACTGTTCAATTCAACACATTTATTTGATCAAGTGACAAACACTTGAGTTATGTTCTCCTAGCAACCAACCACAGCCTCTGTTTCTACTGAATGACATGGGCTAAATGGATACGTCACTTGCTGCTAATTGGTCAAAGCAAAATACCACCCCAACAAGAAAACAGCTAGCACGATGTCGGGTGAATAATTAATTGAAATGAAATGGCAATTCAGTCTGATTATCACGCTATTAAAGACCCACCACACTGTGTCCTCAGCTTAGTGTGTTGAGAACTTTTACCACAGTTATTCTATATGCAGCCACCACATGACTGTTTACAGTGTACAGATGTAAATCATGATTCATATCAAGCAGCTGTCCTGCTGATATGTTCAAAGTGAAACAAAGCTCAGGAAAGGGAGGGTGAGAGAGAGAGAGACTCCTCTGAACCGCAGGATGCAATAAGGAAGCTGGCATGACAAACCACACACACACACACACACACCACACAACAACACACACAACACACACACACACACATAAAGCAAGTCCATTCGTGCCAAAACAGTGAGTCCCTGCTGGAAGCTGCTTTGGTGTGCTCTGGGAATTAGAAATCCCACAATTAAACATATGGGCATTAAGATAATTGTCAGTTTGTTGTTTGCTTGTCGTGTGTGTGGTGTGTGTGTGTGTGTGCTGTGTGTGTGTGTGTGTGTGTGTGTGTGGGTGTGTGTGTGTGTGTGT